ATATACAATGTGCTATCGGATTCGAAACTTATATATTCAGTGTACGCTTTAACTGGTTCAGTCTTGTATTTCATCTGTCCTTAATTCTATCATTTTAAAAGAAATGAATCATTTATTATAATTATATTCATGCGAAGGCCATACCTATAGCAAATGTGGTTTATTCACGAGTGTGTATCTTAATAACATCTGTTCTGTTTGATATTAACCTCCAAGGACAGAGAGTTGGATAATCACTAGTATATTTATCTTTGGGCTAAGCGTCTTAATAAGAACTAAGTTCATCACACGCGTGCCTCTATACGTGCAATCCATGTGTCTATGCCTTTGTTGGTATCGTGATGATTTTCTGTTTTTGTTTCTCCGATAGTGTTGATCTGATGCCGATATTTTAGTACTATCTCAATAAAATATCATACAAAAAGCACCAAGCACGATACTGTAGTAGTACGAGGAATATTGAAAGAGATAATGCCGTCGCTGTAGGCTCAAACTCGCGACCCTTTCTCTATCCAGCCCGATGCTCTGCCACTGAGCTAAAGGAAATTCCCTAGAGCTGACAAACCCGAACCGAAGCCGAAACCCTTTCAAAGCACCGGTTTCCGTATGCCACTATGCGAGAGTTTGGAAGACACAGCATGGGTTCTGTCTCTGACCACAGTGCATATATATGTATATACAAAAATATTGTACTTCTACCTGTTTAATATTAATAACCAGTGCAAAAAAGATAACACTGGTTGATGTGTTCTATTTTCAAACCCGTAAGCGCCGCATTGGTTTGATATATAAACACTTTGTCTACTTCTGATGCTTCCCTAAGCGTTAAAGCCTTCTCGGAAATTACGACCGCATACTTTCTACAAAAATATAATAGGAAACCCTATCATCATTATGTTTTCGTTTGATAAAATATGTCATATTCACTGCGGTCAAGATATACGAATGTTAAATTCTCACACATGGAGATCCCACTCTGAGTATTGTTCAATCACAACGGTACATTCTTTTCACTGCAAAGTACAGATGAGGTGCCGGCAAAATAAGTGGCTGTTCTGATCCACAGTTGCAACATACATTTTGGTATTTTCATAACTTGTCAAATGATGCCATTTTTGTTTGGAAATCTAAACAGATAATAGCAGCAAACGTCAAAATTGCGTTAAGATCCTCTTTTAAAATGGCGCTCTGGAATGTTCAAGCGTTACGTCATTAAAAGATGGAGTTAAATAGCACGCTACAAATTCCAGCACTTTTCTGATGTAGCACTATTTGAGTCCATTTACTTTTTATTATTGTAAAACAAGAAACATGTATTTGTTTTTTCGTTGAACACAAGATATATTTAACCCGTTTAAAACGCACATGTTATAACAACCAGAAAACTAGCGTTATGGCGTACAGTGTCTTCGTATCTAAAAATGCATTATCAAATGAAATATTTGTTAAAATCACGATAGGTATAATATATATTTTATATAAAGCATGTACTGCATTCTCTCTCTCAGAATATGACGTTATTTTCAAACTGTTTTCATTTAAACATGCAGTAAAACTTTACATTTTAGGGTCTTAAGAAATATATTGAATGACAACAGTGCAACATATGTGGATACTGTGTGTAAACAGAATATCATGAAAGATAAAAGTAATGCCATTAATATTCGAAGAATAAATTCAGAAGTGCATATCTGCTCCAGGGTGTTGTTTTGAATCTCAATAAGTGATTTTTATCAAAATATCTGGTGTCCAGCAGCTTTGCTGCATTTGTTTGGTTTGGGTGCGGATAACAGTGTTCTTGGCCCTTTGCAGACGACTAGTTAGTTTTTTTTAGATATATCACAGAGCAGGGCATAACAGTCAAACTGAGAAGTAACAAGTTAATGCACCAAAGTCTCGCTATGTCATAATGGAGGGCCGTCTCAGTAGAGTACCTCGTTTGATAGGCCAGTTGCAGGTTGTCTTGATTACTTCGTATGGAGATGAACCTCTAAAAGCCTGGACCCAATTTTACACTGGGCGGTACTTCTTAAACTCCTCCCTGTCTGTTCCAGTTTTCTACAGCAGTTCTCTCTTGACTTTAATGTTAAACGTCCGCCCAGATGTCCCGTGCCAGAACATACCAAAGTCCTTAGATATGGTAGTTTAATTCCCTGCTTAACATTCAGCATTAAAGGTAATGACAACAACCGCTTAAAGCGTTGTTAGTATGACTTGACCAATCGGAATGCTTTCCTTTGATGTTTTTTGCATGGTGTTTCAGAGATATAGCACTATCAAGTCGAAATCAAGGTTTTGTTTGGCTTTATTTTGTTTAACATCTTATCAACAGCTAATATAGTTATTCAAGGACGTGCCTACATGTGTTGTGTATGTGTGCTGGAGGCAAGGTATTTCGGTGTAATTTCCACCCTGTGATAGTGGCATCATGTCCGCGTTTAACTCAAGAAGGAAAATACACCACCATACCCTGTCTTCGACACTCATTCGCACATGCTCGCATACATAACACACATAAAGGTACGTCTTTAAGTGACCTAAGCTGTCAATAGACTCAATTATTACCAATACTACTGTAACGGTTCACGTCCTTAGTCCTCCACCGTTGTGATTCCAGGTTCTAGCGTAAAGTGACGTACGTTTTATATCCTTGGAGTCTGTAGTGTGACAAAATATATACATAACACTGAACTGATCGTTTCCAACATTTATAAGCATTGGCAATATTGACAACAACGTTTAGGAATAGTGCGACCTATTATGTGAGTACCCAATAACATTCTGCGCCGGCGTTAACGTCATAATAGTGACATTCACTCGATGCCATGAGGAGGATCCAACCAGAGGCTCTGGCGTACCCAAACGCCCCTGCGGCGTACCTGGCGACAACCCGTGCCCACCCGCCGACGTAAACCCTCTGCCGTTCTGGTCCGGTGGTTTTCCTCACGTCACTGAGTGTTTAGCTCTATTGTCTCGCTCACCTGTATATAACTCGCTGGTCGCTGGTCTGCTCTCCGAGAGAGTTAGACCGACCGACGGCCAGCGGTATATATACGCATGAATGAACCCTCATAATAAGACGCAATCCTTTACACGTCACAATACAGGTAACACACATTTGGTACAAATACAGGTAAAAACTAGCATACATTACACTACACTTTTTTTGTTTGAAAACAATATTGATGGGAATGTGAAATCAATTGACAAATGCTAAACATTGATCATCAGTCTTGAATTAAGCTGCCTTCAGGTAGGATATTAAGCAAGAAGATTAAATTAGCATACATCTGCCCTGGGCTGCAACATACTCGAGTCAATTAAAATTGTATTGTTCCATGCAAAACGTTAAGCATCTAGAATTAGCGTTGCGGTTGATTTACTTCAACGAAGATCTGTGCTGGATTCCTTCGGCATGTTATTTCAGTGCTGTATCACTCTGAGTTCGGCATTAGATATGTGCTTTCGCTAGGAGACGAATACTTCAATATACAGCCTTAACAAAACAAAGACACAAACATCACACACATACATGTACGTCTTTCAAGTAACTTAGCTATTTATACCATACTTAACTGAACAAATATGACTTGTTATTCTGTACATTTACTGCGTTTTGCTGTATGTAAAATTGAAATATGTATCTTGAATAACGACCTGATAAATGTCAATTTTATTTTTGCCTTGTCTTCAAAACTTCCTGTCTACAAAGCTATATATTTGACTGACAAAAAATAGTACATACATAATTATTTACCAAAAATTATATTATATTTTTTATCGTGAAAGATAATACTCATAAACCAGAAGTGAGTTATCAAAGTGATAAACTTAGATATTTTATAAATGATATCTTACTGAATTTTATAATTCAAATATATTAAATCATCTTATAAGGTAATCTTATATTATTTAAGTAACACATACTTAATACAAACTTAATACCATTGTGATATTTCGTTTCCTGCCTTTAGATGCAGCATCCATCACACTAGCTGGTAAGCAAATATTATATTTCAATTAACATTATCCGATACTAAAACACGCTTTTCTTAAACGCATTACACCTGGTAAAGTAAGAGTGCTTTATACATTCTTAAAATATAATAATGTAATATATGATAGCCTTCCTAGTTAAATCAATGTTATGTCAATATTCAACGACTTCAACAAAATATAACACCAAAAAGACATCAACACAAGTGTTAGCTTTGTTATGTTTTGTACATAAATAGTAGTTACATGTAAACGTTCTTATGGTTGTTGTAAATACTTACATTTATTTCATTCCATGATCTGTAATTCAGTACAGTTTCTGCGTGCCACTGTATGTAAAGTTAAAATATGTATCTTTGATAAAGACCTGATAATTATCAATTGAATATCAATCATGTCTCCACATTTTCCTGCTTAAGAAGTTATAGATTTGACTGAACAAACTTAATACATACTTCAAATTATCAACAAAATATATCATTACATTCGGATCGTGAAAGATGATACTCGTAAACAAAAACAAAGTTATCAAAGTGAAATTTTTTAATAATTAAAAACGAAATCTTGCTGAATTTAATAATTAAAATGTATAAATTCATCTGATCAGTTTTTTTTTATTATATAAGTAACACATTCTTGATACAAATTTAATACCGTTGTGATGTTTCATTTTCCTGCCTTATATGCTTTAGCACCCATCAACATACCTGGTAAGCATAAATACTATTTCAATTTTCATTATCCGATTCTTAAACACGCTTTCCTTCAACGCAATACTTCTGGTAAAGTTAGAGTGGTTTATACATTCTTAAATTATAATAATGTAACATATGATATTTTTCCTAGTTAAATCAATAATATATCCAAAGGCGACGTCTTCAACAAATATAAAACCAAAAGACTTTTACAAAGCAAGTGATGGTTTTGTTATGTTTCATACATAAAGAGTAGTTCCATGTATACACTATTATGGTTGTTGTAAATTGACGGCAGACTGATTTATCGGTGAAGAGTCACAAAGGCAAACAGGAAAATGCCTGGTATAAACTAGAGCATAGATTGCTTTTGCCTGGTTCCTTCCTTTGACAAATCTAAGTTGTTCGTGCTTATTGCGCACAGTTCTTAGATTCATCAAAACCAGCAATCCCATCTACCACAGCCCGGTTTCAATAATTATTGAACAAAATCTATATTATTTGTACCCCAAAATATTTGAAATCGTATAAACTATTTTCCTTGATCTTCAAATTCTTGTCTTCTGAAATTGTTGATTTAATTGACTTGGACTAAAATTTCTTATTAATGAATTTAAAGTGTTTCTCAGGTAATAATTAAATATTGTTTTATATCTTTATTACACATTTCAAAAATATTTGTTATTGAATAATCCTAAACATTCTTAATTTATCAATATGTTACTGAACAAATTTCAATTGCTTTGTTTACTGAACTATGTGGTTAAGTGTAAACTTCTGCAGCAAGTTTCTTACTGTTGTCATACTAACATGTATTTCATTCCATGACTTGTAATTCAGTACAGTCTCTGCGATCCACTGTATGTAAAGTTAAAATATGTTTCTTTGATAACGACCTGATAATAATTAATTGAATTTCAACCATAACTCCACATCTTCCTGCCTAAGAAGTTATAGATGTAACTGACAAAAATTAATACATACTTCAAATTATCAACAAAATATATCATTACATTCGTATCGTGAAAGATGATACTCGTAAACAAAAACAAAGTTATCAAAGTGAAAAACTTTAATATTTAAAAATGATATATTGCTGAATTTAATAATTCAAATGTATCAATTCATCTGATCAGGTGATATTTTATTATATAAGTATCACCTACTTGATACAAATTTAATACCGTTGTGATATTTCATTTTCCTGCGTTAGATGCTTTAGCACCCATCAACACAGCTGGTAAGCATAAATACTATTTCAATTTTCATTATCCGATTCTTAAACACGCTTTCCTTAAACGCAATACTTCTGGTAAAGTAAGAGTGGTTTATACATTCTTAAATTATAATAATGTAATATATGATATTTGTCCTAGTTAAATCAATGATATATCAATGTTCAACGTCTTCAACAAAATATAACACGAAAAGACATTTACAAAACAATTGATAGCTTTGTTATGTTTCATACATAAAGAGTAGTTCCATTTATACGTTCTTGTGGTTGTTGTAAATTGACGGCAGACTGAGTCACAAAGGCAAACAGAAAAACGCCTGGTATAAAATAGAGCATAGATTGCTTTCGTCTGGTTCCCTCCTTTGACAAGTCGGATGTGTTCGTGCTTATTGCTCACAGCTCTTAGATTCATCAAAACAAGCAATCCCATCTACCACATCCCGGTTTCAATAAATATTGAACAAAATCTACATTATTTGTACCTTAAAATATTTGAAATCGTTTAAATTATTTTCCGTGATCTTCAAATTCTTGTCTTCTGAAATTGTTGATTTAATCCACTTGGACTAAAATTTCTGATTAGTCAATTTAAAGTGTTTCTCTAGTAATCATTATATATTGTTTTATATCTTTATTACACATTTCAAAAACATTTGTTATTGAATTACCCTAAACATCCCTATTTCAACAACATCTTACTGAACATAATTCAATTGCTTTGTTTAATGAAATATTTGTTTAATGGTTAACTTCTGCAGCGAGTTTCTTACTGTTGTCATACTAAGATTTATTTTATTCCATGACCTGTAATTCAGTACAGTTTCAGTGTTACGCTGTATGTTAAGTTGAAATATATCTTTGATCACGACCTGATAATTAACAATTGAATTTCAACCATGTCTCCACAATGTTTTGCCTAAGAAGTTTTAGACTGACTGAGAAAAAATGAAACATACTTCAAATTATTAACCAAATATATCATTACATTCGTATCGTGAAAGATGAAACTCGTAAACCAGAAGTAAATTACCGAAGTGAACAAATTTAAACTTTAAAAATGATATCTTGCTGAATTTAATAATGCATCTGATCAGGTGATATTTTATTATATAAGTAACACATACTTGATACAAATTTAATACCGTTGTGATATTTCATTTTCCTGCTTTAGATGCTTTAGCACCAATCAACATACCTGGTAAGCATAAATGATATTTCAATTTTCACTATCCGATACTTAAACACGCTTTTCTTAAACGCATTACTTCTGGTAAAGTAAGAGTGTTTTGCACATACTTAAATTATAATAATGTAACATATGATAGCTTTCCTAGTTAAAACAATGATATATCAATAGTCAACATCTTCAACAAAATATAACACCAACAAGACATATACAAAACAGTTGATAGGTTTGTTTTGTGTCATACATAAAGCGTAGTTCCAAGTATACACTATTATGGTTGTTGTAAATTGATGGCAGACTGATTTATCGGTGAAGAGTCACAAAAGCAAACAGGAAAATGCCTGGTATAAACTAGAGCATATATTGCTTTCGTCTGGTTCCTTCCTTTGACAAGTCTAAGTTGTTCGTGCTTATTGCGCAGAGTTCATAGATTCATCAAAACCAGCAATCCCATCTACCACAGCCCGGTTTCAATATCTATTGAACAAAATCTACATTATTTGTACACCAAAATATTTGAAATCGTATAAACTATTTTCCGTGATCTTCAAATTCTTGTCTTCTGAAATTGTTGATTTAATTACTTGGACTAAAAATGCTGATTAGTGAATTTAAAGTGTTTCTCAAGTAATCATTAAATATTGTTTTATATCTTTATTACACATTCCAAAAATATTTGTTATTGAATAATCCTAAACATTCTTAATTCATCAACATCTTACTGAACACATTTAAATTGCTTTGTTTACTGAACTATGTTTTTAAGTGTTAACTTCTGCAGCAAGTTTCTTACTGTTGTCATACTAACATTTATTTCATTCTATGACCTGTAATTCAGTTCAGTCTCTGCAATCCGCTGTATGTAAAGTTAAAATATGTTTCTTTGGTAACGACCTGATACCTATCAATTGAATTTCAACCATGTCTCCACAATATTTTGCCTAAGAAGTTATAGATGTGACTGACAAAAATTAAAACATACTTCAAATTATCAACAAAATATATCATTACATTCGTATCGTGAAAGATGATACTCGTAAACAAAAACAAAGTTATCAAAGTGAAAAACTTTAATATTTAAAAATGATATCTTGCTGAATTTAATAATTCAAATGTATAAATTCATCTGATCAGGTTATATTTTATTATATAAGTAACACATACTTGATACAAATTTAATACCGTTGTGATATTTTATTTCCCTGCCTTAGATGATTTAGCACCCATCAACATACCTGGTAAGAATAAATACTATTTCAATTTTCATTATCCGATTCTTAAACACGCTTTCATTAAACGCAATACTTCTGGTAAAGTAAGAGTGGTTTATACATTCTTAAATTATAATAATGTAATATATGATATTTTTCCTAGTTAAATCAATGATATATCAATGTTCAACGTCTTCAACAAAATATAACACGAAAAGACATTTTCAAAACAATTGATAGCTTTGTTATGTTTCATACATAAAGAGTAGTTCGATGTATACGTTCTTATGGTTGCTGTAAATTGACGGCTGACTGATTTCTCGGTGAAAGGTCACAATGGCAAACAGGAAAATGCCTGGTATAAAATAGAGCATATATTGCTTTCGTCTGGTTCCTTCCTTTGACAAGTCGAAGGTGTTCGTGCTTTTTGCTCACAGCTCTTAGAATCATCAAAACCAGCAATCCCATTTACCACAGCACGGTTTTACTAATTATTGAACAAAATCTACAGTATTTGCACGCCAAAATATTTGACATCGTATAAACTATTTTCCATTGATCTTCAAAGTCGTGTCTTCTGAAATGTTTTGATTTAATTCACTTGGACTAAAGTTTCTGATTAATGAATTTAAAATGATTTTCTAGTAATCATTGAATATTGTTTTATATCTTTATTACACATTTCAAAAATATTTGTATTGAATAATCCTAAACATTCTTAATTCATCAACATCTTACAGAATAAATTTCAAATGCTTTGTTTAGTAACATATTTTGTTTAAGCGTAAACTTCTGCAGCGAGTTTCTTAATGTTGTCATATTAACGTTTATTTTATTCCATGACCTGTTATTCAGTACATTTCCTACGTTCCGCTGTATGTAAAGTTGGAATACATATCTTTGATAACGACCTGATAATTATCAGTTGAATTTCAACCATGTCTTCACAACTTCCTCCCTTAGAATTTATATATATGACTGGCAAAAATTGATACATACTTCAAATTAATAACCAGATATATCATTACATACGTAATGTGAAAGATAATACTCGTAAACCAGAAGTGAGATATCAAAGTGAAAAGCTGAAATATTTTATTAATGATATCTTCTAAATGTAATCATTCAAATGTATAAATTTATCGTCAATGATAATGTATTACAGCCAGGTGATCCTTTATCATTTAAGTAACACATACTTAATACACATGTAATACCATTGTGATATATCATTTTCCTGCCTTAGATACAGCAGCCACCAACGTAATATCTGGTAAGCAAATATTCAATTTCAAATTCTTTACTCAATACTAATTCTATATTCTAATATCAATTCTACTGATCAATACTTCTGGTTAATACGAGTGCCTTACACATATACAGTTCTGAATAATTTAATTAATGATAAAGTTCTTAGTAAAAACAAAGGTATATCATGATTCAACGTCTTCGACAAACTGTAATATAATTAAAAAAGCTTATGTATGTTGTATATATATAGAGAAGTTTCATTAAATATGTTTTACACCCAATTATAACCGTTGTTATTTTCATATTCCTGCCTCAGAAACAGAACCTATCAGCATGACTGGTAAGTTAATATTGCATTTCAATTTCTTCACTCAAAACTAAAGCACGCCTTTATACTTATCAAAACTTCATGTAAAGTACGATTTTCTTACACATAGCAACATTATAAAGTATATGATAACTCTGTTTGTATTAATAAATATTGTATCAAGACTCAAAGTCTTCTGCATAATAAAGCACCAACATTTTTTTATGTGTTTGATATGCTAATCATATTCCACAAATACAAAAAAAGTAGTTTTTTTTAATACGTTCTAGTGGTTGATGTAAATTAAATAAACATGGCAGACATACTTTTCTCTCCGGTGTCACAATGAATCCTAGGAAAATGCCTGTTATAAAAATGACTATAGATTGCTTCCATTTTTGTCCCTCCACATGACAGGTGTGACGTGTTTGTGTTTATCGTGCAAAGCTCTTCGAATCATCAAAACATGTAATCTCATCTACCAAGTCAAGGTTCCAATAAGCATTGAACATAATCCACAGTATTTGCTAACAACATATTTGATTTATTATAAACTATCTTAATCAATCTTCAAATTCATGTTTTCTAAAATTGATGATTCAATGACTTGGACTGTAATTTATGATTAGTCAATATATAGTGTTTCACTAAAAGCAAAAATTAACATTTCATGTATTCTAATACTTTGATTATCTTTTCGGAATTTCATTATCAGTCTATTATCATGCTTGTTATACTAGGAAAGTGTATCAGTAACATGGTGCTTTACATTCATGTTGTTGTAAGATTCCCAAATATATCATTTTATTTAACCGTATAAGATAATACTCTTACATCAAAACTTAGTTATCATAAAGAAATAATTAAATATTCTTTAAATGAAAGTTTGTTTAAAATTAAATCTACAAATATTACTTTTTCTGTCTGGAACACAGTTATTATTTTATTTCAATTGCTTAACCCAATACCATTACTAACAAATTTCTCTTGTATAATATGGACACGTAACAAAGAATGAAGTTCTAAATTACTTCAAAATGATATTTTTCTCACTTGAATAAATCTATTAATATTAATATTTAATGTGTAAGACAGAACATTGTATCATCAATATGCTACTTTATACCACATACTGGTAGCTTGATAAATTAATTTCCATGGAATGCCAGTATAGGAAAACTCGAGACAAAGTTTAGAACAACTTGAGAACAACATGAGAAGAACTTTAGAAAGAATTTCCCCATTTCACGGTATTTGAGAACGTATTTTTCTCAAAAAGGAACGTTTGCTCGCGCCACGTGACGTCCTTAGCCGGACATAGAATCCACACAAAAGGGATCCGCGTCAGAAAATAGTCCGTCATAAACAAATCAGTATAAAGTTACCAAATTATTGTGAACGTAATTTAATTTTAAGCGTATATATGCACATGGAAAAGCCAATGAAGATATGCTTATTTAAAAAAATAATTCGTCATAGCTAAGTTCCTCGGGACATTTCACACTTCATCACTCACTCAGTCCTAGCTTGACATAGGGACCAGTCGGTCTTGACACGTTGCGACACGTTTAATGCGTATTTTTTGTGTTAAAGTAAAACGTTGATATCACATATTTCTAAACTGATGAATCTTATTGTAGAAATTCGTCATAATTTTAAGGTTCGTGATAATCCTCCGCGCAAACCTTATATTTGTTTACGTTTGTCACAGACCGAGGATTTTCGATCGATGGTCATTGAGCATAGAAGTAATTTGAAAGATATGGTGTTGAGTTGACTTATTAAAATTTATAATTTAACTCAAATCCACAAATTCATCACTTTCTCATATATATTCATCATTTTCATTATCATTGTCAGAACTCTTATCGTCAGATGACTTAATCAAAGATCGAAATTGAACGTTCATTATAAAATTGATATATTCGGCTGATCGTTCAGATATATATTTTCCTTTATCATTTTCAGTCTCAACAGAGAGGTCCGAGGTAAGAATCAAGATTTTGACTTGTGTAACTTACATGAAACACTTTGTTATTAAACGCTCAATTAAACCTAAGATAAATCGGGGAAACAGTTTTGAGTTCAAACAGAAAACTTAGGAGGAAATTTTGAAGATCATATATTACAACTGGTTAGGCAGAATCAGTCTCTGAAGATGCTCATTGGTAATCATAAAAACTCGAAGCAATTCATTGCATATTTAGATATATTTCATTTTTGTTGCTTACAAATATGTGTTCATGTAAGGACTCGTTTTAAATTGTTGTATTTGAACTTGTACGATTTACTTTTCTTTCGTGCATAACTTATATCAATAGCCATCAGTATATCATCATTTTTGGTTTCGTCACAAACTGAACTGAACAGGTGGAAGAAAAAGGAAATAAGTGATCTGTAATTAGTGGTTTAAAAAAATAGTTTAGAAACATTTAGTGTTTTACTATTGTAAAGTTGTTCTTCACAATACTGCACGAGCTTATCCGACAAATAGTATAAAGATAGATATTAAGTTCATATCTGTTTATTCTTTAGTCATTTGGAGAAGACATGCATACACTCATGCAAAAAGTGTTATTTTTGTGTGTATAATATTATTGATGAAATCATAAATTGCACCGACATGAAAACCTTATTAGCGGACAGGCCTTCACAAACACGCACGTTTACACAGTGGTTAAATGGGCGCATTGTCATCATAATACATAATGATATAATTTGAATTCTCTTGATGTTTATTTGTAACAGGAGCGAGGCACGGGAGGTCTAGATCCCTATGCACCTAACCATAGCTTGTCAGATGTAAAGTCCCTCTATGACGCATGTAAATCTGGAGACACAGAGAAAATTTTCAAACTTCATGCAAAATGTCCAGAGTTGTTATCACAGAACAGTAACCAGTACCTTCTTGGCATTGTTGAATCTGGAAACATAGATTGCTATATCGCTATAGAATCTTTGTTGCTTAAAGGAAAAGGAGAAGAGGAGCGTCAACAATACATTGGAAGCATTAGAGATACGGATAACGAATCCGTGCTCCACAAAGCCTGTCGTTCTGGAAGTAAAGACATGTATGCATACATCTCTACAACATATCCTAATCTAGTTGCAGACAAGAACTATCTCCTGGAAATAGCACGTAGCAAGTCTGACCTTTATGACATAATTGAGAAGGAGTATGAGATTAACAAAAAATAGCCGTTGAATGACTAATGAAAACAAAACATTTCAACATCAGAGTATATATCCCGGGAATCTTTTTTAACATTATCATGACGTTAAAGTAATGTTACACTTGACGTTTTGATAACCTTTTTCATTGTTGTATTTTGTAATGTTTAATTTGTGTTTTAAATATATAGACGTTATTCAGTAGAGTGTGCATCAATTTCACGTTTTTCAACATTACATTTGGTTTTAACTCTAGTTGGCTCCCTAGTGGAGTTCCTCATGAGCACTCGCACTCTTAATCTTAGTCACATTTTGTTCCTTTGTAACAAGGGTCCTTCATCATAGATATTGGGATAAATGAAAATAGAGTAATGGCGTCCATGGCATTATTTCTCAAACACAGCTAGCTGTTTAGTCTCTATGAACAGGCCCACAATTTGGTACTCTCCAGGAAATTGCAGTCAAACAAAGCCTCTTGTTATGATGCAAACTTCATTTATAGGCTATCAAACGTTTTTTTCTATAGTATATCCTTCTTGACTCCAAAGCTGTAGTTTATAATGACTAAAAAGTATGGAGAATTTTATTTTTTCCCCGGATGTTTCGCGCTCAATCAGAAAACAACCTCATCTGCAAATTAAATTCATCAATGTTCTAATATAACTCCGTGATGCAATTAACAGAGGACAATCTCCATTGTTGTTGCATTATATAAAGTGATACCTTACATATTCAACATACTAGTGTTCTAACTGATAACTTTAGAACTTATAAGAGTTCCCAGACAACACTAATACACAGTAACAACTGTAAATTGTACATTTTATCATACATTGTATCTTGACCATATGTAAGATGAGCTTTATGCTCAATATGTTATCAAGAATAAATAAAGCCTTAAATATTATATATCATTATTATTATATATTTGTATCAATCGGTATCAAATGCCGGTCTCCGTGAATTCTGTTCAATCCACATAAGCACGCTATCTATTCCATTAATTTACTAATTTGTCTGGAATTCAAACAAGGTTCCAGACGGAGTCATCCCGGAGGACCATCTGTTGTCGGATGGTCGTCCTTTTACTTTGACTTGGGTAAATCATATTTCTTTGGCCATGTACCATGTATGGTAAAATCCAGAGCACATACGTTTCAGCTAGCACTATATACAAAACAATAGCTTTAAAGGCACTGAGTCATTTTCAACTTGACGTCAGAAAAGCTGACCCCAGTATAATTGGTTTCAATTGGAAATAGTGACTCTCAAATGAATTGATAAAGAAAAGAGATCACTTCAGTTATTTTTTCTAAGTTTTGTCATTATTTGACATCAATTCTGTGACAAGAACCCATCTGGCCTTAACTGTCATCTAACTTATAATAACAAAAGAGTTATGGTTGAAACGTGAAGTTGAAATAATCGGAAATGTAAATAAAAAGGTACAAGTGCTAAACTTATGATTTGTTGTTTTTAAATCAGAAATAAGATATTTTGCCAGTTGGCCAACCCCCAAACCCCACTTACACAAACACAGGGAGCTGGCCAGCTTCGTACTTTGTGATACCAAGTAATTTTAATCCTGAAATCTTAATTATATCCTCAAATCATAATTATTTTAACCTAATTAAAATGATCCCCCTCTGAAATAAAAAAAAATGTAATTTTCATATGTAAACAATAGTAAAGTTTATCCTCACCCAAAGGGAGAATGGATTATCCAGTGGTATCATAATTAGCAATTTAGAAAACTAACGAAGAACCTCTCTATCCATTAATATAATTATTTGTTGATGTACATCCGAGTCTGAAGAAGAAGTTTCTTTAAAATTTAGGCCGGTTTTTTTTTGGAGCCCCTCTCTGGAAATTGGGGTTATAGAAAAAGCAAAACCTTTATATTGTTACATGTACGCTGGTCCGCAGAAGTATAAAGACATGTCACGGACGACGCACGACGACGGGGTAAGCTTAGGTGCCCTTTATAAAGTCAAATGTTTTACAGAAATGGAATGTAGATTTTGACCTGCTTAACCTTGATGTTTAGCCTGCACAGATTGACAGTTTGTGATCAATCACAACAATATATTCTTTAACTNTTTAAAACCTGGGACTGAAGTGAGTTCCAGGTCCTTATTTGTTTTCTGACTTATCAAAGTTAACTTACAAATAAAAAATGGCATTTGCCATCACAACTACTGTAAAATGTTTAATTAAATATATGAGGTTTCATTTCCTGGTAATTTTAAGTCTATAAGCCTCACNGAATTTTTCAAATTCGTTTTGAAAGGTATTTGTTTCTAAGCTATATATCTACTTTTATTATATTTGTATTCTTAGTTAATATTTACGTCTTTAACAATATAAATAACAATATATACTAACGGTCAACAACGGTTTGTTATTTATTGNGAAATGATGATCATTAAAATGACGTCACCTGTGTAATGATGAAGTCATGATATTGTCAGCACACCGGGATTTATAAGAAATTTGGAGACCTATCACCCTACTAAATGTTTAATACGAAAAGGCAGCACATCAATTAGCTTAACGTCTACATAAAGTACTACCTTCTATGATTAGTATGGATTAACAAGGCTATTTAAAAATCAGATACACAGACCAATTAAATATGACCCCAAATTATCTACATGAAATTATTCAACCATATATATTAAACCCAGAAGAAAATACATACAATCTTAGGCACTCAAGAGTTTTCAATGAGCCCCTTCCTAGAACCACACTATATGCTAATAGGTTTTTTCCCAGTATGATGAACATATGGAACAGTGCCAATAATAACCTTACTAATATTACAAATATTATCACTTTTAAAAGGGAAATACAAAAGTTAAATGTAGGGGACACAAAACAAAATGTATGTACACCTGTATTTAAATACTCTGGTTCACGAAAAAGTAATATATTAATGTGTCAATTAAGAAATGGTGCTAGTCAACTAAACTATGATCTGTTTAAAGATCACTTGAAAAATAGTCCAAACTGTCCTTGTAGTCATGCAATTGAAAACTCTTATCATTTCTTTTTTGAATGTCCTCTCTATACATAAGAACGACAAACTTTTATGCAGGATCTTATATTAAATGATGAAGATTTCCATAATACAATACCTTTAAGTACTATTATAAATGGAAACACTAGTAAAAGTGATTTACAGAACAATCAATTGATGGAGTGTGTGCATAAATACAATAATGCTACAGGACGGTTTAAATAGATGAATATACAAGCTTTATGTGGTTGGTGTATTCTTCGTATTCTGTAAGATAAATTCATTATTTCTGTTGATAGTGGATAATGAATATATATATTTACATATAATATACCAAGGTTGATTGATCACAGGGCAACAAATGTCCAGGGACTTTATGTGGTCATGACACTTAAGGTATGATGGAGTAATGTAAATCAATAGTTGTAATTTATTTAATTATTGAAAAATTAATAATTTATTATGAAATACCAATATGCCACATATTTGTATCCTGTGAACTAGTGTACATTGTTATCATATTTAATGCCCAACTGCACATTCATTTAAAACAAATATGTATAAACTACATTAAATAAACCAACAAATCCATGCCTGTAGATACAAATGTGGTGTTAGAGTGTATGAGTGAGTGATTGAGAATATTTTGTGTCCTTATATAATTATTTATGTCTTTTTGGGTTTTCATTTTTTTTATTTTTTTATTTTTTTTTATATATATATATATTTCTGTTTTCTTTTAGTTAATTTTCTATTTGATTTACCAACTCATCTCAAGACATGTCTACTTCAAATAAGTCCCTGTACATTTCTTTATCAGAATACATGCATGTATCAGTTTTGCTTTATTTCATGATGCCATAGCAAATTTAAGTTGCTCAAGTTCAAGACGTATATCCATATATTTATTTCGATTTGAATACTGTGTATATTCATAACAGTATTTTAAATTCTTCTTGACACAAATTTTACAACTATATTAAATATTAATATCGCAAAGTTATTTTTTTTTCATTCTCCAAGGTTGTTTTTTCTGTAGAAACAGGAAAATATTAAGCCAGCCCTAATTAAATGTATATTACCTAGCAATAAATGTATCCATGTGTCATGAGATGAGTTGAAATACAATGTATGTATGTAAATATTGTATTCAATGTCTTCAAATATCAAAAGTATGCTGGAAGCCATGGAGAGAGCTTATATAGGCAAAGCCTGTTGCTCAATCCTTTTGTTTAATCAATAAAATATATTTAAAATGAAACCAATAAAATATAGAGGGATCAAAGCCTTTGACACCAGTGAATGGGAGTTTATGTTCAACACGTTACATAATCTGATAACATGTGAAATAAACAAGGCTGACATTATGAGTTGACCGCTACATTCCATCAATGACATTAATAAGTACCTCACACAGTATGTTGGATACCACAAAATAGGTCTACACAGACGTAGATACAAGGTATAGCTGTCGATGATGATAGCTACGTACAAGAAATTAGTACAACATTTAAGAATCATATTGTTACCAGAATTAGTTTGACAAATTTACATTTAGAAGATGAAATAATCAAGTCTCTATTGACGTGTTGACGATATCCTTGTTTACATTTTATGAACATACATTGACTAACTATGTTCTTTGATTTCATATTTTATACATGTATGAATAATTTGAATAATATTACCGAACTTGTAAGTCACTCTTTTCCAAGCTTTCGGGCTTAGCCCTTCGTCAGGGATTACATGTCACTGGACCTCTATGTCACATCTATCTTAACAAACATGTTGAGTAACTATCTACATGAATTAAAATAAGATTTATATAATAATCCTAATTTTTATGTAATTGACCGTAGCGACTAAACAACGACTGATCTGAGTACATCCAAATTAGATGTTCTGACCACGCGGGCTTTTGAACTTGCCGAAATACAATCAGTTTAAGTTCCAAACTAATCCACCTTGCTACTTCCTATCGCCATTTTGTAAACAGGACCTCATCTCGATGCGCGTTTGAAAGAGTTAGAAGTATTACAAAGCTTCTAAACGATCATGCCTAGAACATACTCTCTAAGAAGGATGTTTTTGATAAATTTACAATCAATTGTTTACTACATTTCTTTTCTGTATCACTTTGCATTAATTCATAATAAAACAAATTGATATCCTCACATTCCTTTCTGTTATATATCGGATTTAGTTTGTTACTTCTATAAGTTTCCTTTTAGATAAAATATGTCTTGTTTAGGTGATTGTTGAGAATTGGTGGTTCTGCGAAATTTGCTTATTGTTTTTCAAACTATCAATATTTTTTGTTCATAACATATATAGTGTGCTCACATAGTTACTACTTTCTTTAAAATGTAGATATTTTTTATTTGTTTTTAGAAAAAAATATCCAGAAATTGTATTTAGTTTTGAAGTTTTACTTAAAACTTACCATACTGACAATGTCAGACAATTTCAGACATGCGAAACATATAATAATTTGTAATTCTTCTTGAATTTGGTGTACAGATAAATCCTGAATGAACAGATCTGTCAGATCAGCACAAACTATTTAAATTGGAGCCTACATGAAGAGTTATGTTCCTTCACTTTCTTTTTCCAGATATTATGATTCAAAGAATTTCCTACTTGAGTCATCGAATCCGTCAAATCTGTCAAACCATAATTTACACACAATTTACATAGGATGAGAGGGAGGGGGAGGGGGGGGGGGCTAAAAGTTGGACCCCTGAAGAATCGAGGATTTTCTTTCATGTCTACTACTTGGGGGACATTTAACAACACACTTGGGATCTTAAATCTGTCCTTTCTTTCTTCACTGTTCTCCCTTTCTGTGATTTGTCTTGCAGCCTGTG